AAATTACCAACACCAAGAACAAGTAAGTTCAATGTACCGCCAATAAATAACCCTGTCGTGACATCCCCCATAATTAAGCCAGCAAAAAAACCAGCCATACTAGGTTTAACTAAACCGAGTGTTGTATTATTTCCATCATATATTGCAAAACCAGAATACAGCGTTAAAAGAATAATTTGCCAAAACTGTATATGTTCCATTTATTATTCCTCTTGTTCGCTACATTGTTTATTCCATATTTTTTTATTCATTTGAAATAGACCTTCTTTTGCTGTTAAAAGAATTTGTTTCTGGTTTTCTTCTATTAATGATTCATCATCAGCCATGATAATCTCAAGAATTAGATTTAAATTCATCCCAGTAAATAAATGAACATTTTCCCATAGATTATCACTGGCTATTATAGATAATGCACAATTATAGGGTGTACCATTTTTTAAATCAGAAACAATGATTAGATATTTTTTATTTTTATCTCGATTTTTTTACTTTAACATCAAGTTCACTTCTGAATATATCGATTCCCTTTTCACCCGTTAACTCATGAAAATCAATATGACTTTGTTCTCCTAATATTAGTTCAACTGCTTTTTTTGTTCCGCTGGCGTATCCTTCATGAGATATCAACAGAATACTCGTCATAGATATTCCTTCTCTGTGTTTCTTATTTCTATATGGAATGTATCAATTGTTTTATATGTCTCAACATATTCAATAACTTCACCTTCATTATTCAATGTATATCGTTTCATTAGAACAACCGGAGATTCTGGCTCTAATTTAAGATAATCACCAAATACTTTAGGGATATCCTTTGTAATATCTATTGTTTGGCTAAATGGCATTGAATACATATCTAAATTATTACTATCTTTTAGTAACTCATAAAGAGATTGGTAAGATCCACTCTTTAGCAATGACTCATCTTTTATATAGGATGAGCTTATATGCGAAACCTGAATTGCAAATGGCTTTTTATTGTTATATCTCGCTCTCACTATTTTATAATAGTTTTGATCATGATTAATTTTTAATTTTTCTAAGATATCGCTATTATTTTCCAGTGTACAAGAAACCATTTTAATCGATTGAATACCAACCAGCTGATTATCAGTTTCAGAAAAAATAATCTTTTCATTACGTTAGCTTTAGATACCGAAAGATCCTTAACCCTTGATAGCGCACAATAAATTCCTTCGTTTACAAGCTCCTGAATTGCAACAAGTATCGTCGCAGTACTCACGCTATAACGGTTTTTTAATTCTGACTCACTATAGAATTTTTGTCCTGGTTTAAATAGGCCTGATTTTATTTCTTCTAATAATTCATCTTTTATTAACTGATATTTTGCTCGCTGCATTTCGAAATCTCATTAACGGTAAAGGTATTCAATCATGATTTTATGCAACCAATCATACAACAATGTTTTTTGCAGTAAACCCTAAAACTCAACTTAACGGTTAACCGGTTAGAGTATTTATTTAAAACAATAAAGCCGATCACAAAATCTGTTCCTTTTCCTCAATCTAAAAAAGATGAGTTTGTTCGTTTCTAACGGCTAATAGTCCAATACTTATTTAGTTAACAATGTAGGTTTCATCATTCTAATCAGAAGGATTGTAGGTAATAATTTGTTTTTATTAGAGATAATTGAGTTTTAAGAATTGTTAATGACGGATCATATGCAGAATTTTAAATTATCTGCTGATAAAGATATGATGAGGTATAAACAAAGTGTTGATAGTCAAAGCGGCTGAATAGCCGCCCCTAAACACATCTATTTTGCCAGTAAAGCGGGGGTTTCATGTAAATACATCCAAGTACATTTGTCTGCGTCAACATGAATACAGACCGTAGATGTACGCAATGTTTCTTTTCCCTCTATTTGTTGCCATTCTTGGTATTGTAGCCAGCACATGTTTTCACATTCAAATAAAGGTGCAATATCTGATGGGCGAGTCTCTAGTGTGGCTTTTTTGCCCACATTTTCGCTAAATAGCGCAGTCACTTCTGCTAAACCAATTCTATGACCTTGCATTGTGACCATTTTATAGTTGTTATCAAAACTCGCTAACAGAGGGCCTAAACTCTCTGAAACATACGAACCCTAAACCCGCGTTTTTCAATAAGAAACATGTAAATCAATAATACATTTTTGTGAGACTACTGCATTGTTTAAAGGGAGCTCATATTAACTTTTTCCTTTAAAAATGGGAATTAATGATAGCAATCAAGTATCTGCTGCACTAAATCTAAAAATGCATACTGATAGGCGAACTAGCCTTCCGTGGAGAATGCCATGAGGTTAAATTTGAAAATCAACGACAAACCTTCCACACTTAAATGAGATCTGGCGGTTTAATATTCCATAGTAACACTTCCTTGTAATAAATCTTTCCTTCAAAATCTATCGAGTGCGCTAATTTGTGCGTGTTAGTAACATAATCCACCGCCTACCCCATCAACAAATACGCCATAACGATGTTAAACCTACGCGAACTTTGAGGGGATAAGAAAAACAGCAGAAAACCCAACAGAAACTAGTGTTGAATAACAGAGATACTCCATTACAAAACACATAATTTCTTCTTACCATATTCGTATTGGTGTTATATTGCTGGAGCTAACGTCCCCTGCAATTATGGATATCATGAATACCTTTTAATTCATGGCGTTAGTTCGCATCCCCTGTGGCGTAGAGGAGCATAAATGGGCCAGTTTGAGCCGCAGTAAAGCCAATATTGAGCTGCAAATTAAAAATATTGAGTAAATTGACCCCCGTGAAGATCCCAGGTACTGCGTAATAAACGATAAATGCATTACGCAAGTTTGCATTTCTCAGTAATTGAAAATTCAATATCGGTGCATGACACTTTTTGGCATGCTGAAGATATATCGCTAATATCAATGCAGAGCAGCCGAAACTTCCCAAGGCAAGGAAGAGACTGTGGTAATCATTATAAAAAGAAAAGGACAGTAGTAGGGTTAATAGGCTAATACTAATTAACAATAATCC